TTGTTTGATTTCCTCCCAAACCAGAAGGAAATCAAACAAAATCCAAAGGATAAAGCACAAAAACAAGATTAACACCAAATTTTCACACTGTGCTAAGACAAACCCCAAATTTCTCCTCCCTCCTAAAGCAGTGGTGCCTCCAGGCAGGAAGCAGAGGCTGAGATGGACATTCCTGGTGTCCTCTGGGAAAAGAGGAGCCAGAACTCTGCAGATTCACCTCAGCCTTGAAGGACAGCCAGGTGCAGCTGCTCCAGGAGCTCTGAGCAGCTCCAGAGGGAATTCAGAATTCCAATTCCAGTGTGGCAGCTGGATCCACAACCCCCTGACAGGAGTATCCAGCACAAAAAGGAGCACAGAGAGCTTCCCACAGGGAACGAGTGATCAAGCCACCATTTCCAGGTCTAACACAACTTCCCTGAGTTATTATCTTTATCTGGGCATCCTTAACTCCTCCAAACCTCCTGCACCCAGCCTGACTGAGATGAAGAGATGCAGGAAAATAAGAGCCCTGCTCACCATCGGTGGGGTTGGCGAATTCCTTGGGCACTGCAGCTCCATCCCCCAGCTCCACGGGCTCCAGCTCCGTCCTCACCCCCTCGATCTGCACCTCGTGCTCTCCCGAAATTCCATCCTCCTCCGACCTCGAGCTCTCCCCCGTGCGGCGGAACTTCACCACCCTGGAAGCACAAAAAGCCGGGATGGATCCTTCCAGGAGGATTTTCCAGCTGGGGAGGGTTGAAACCCCTTTTCTATGCAGGGTTCTCCTCATTCCCTGTCTCCATTCTCCACTGGGAACTCTGGGATTTGGGGTGGGGCTGGTTTGAGGTGTCCTGCTCTGGGATGGGATCTCATCCTTGGGCTTGGGCACAGAGGTTGTTATTGTGCTGTGCAAAAGGTAATAAACCACTGAGGTCATAAAAATATGATGGAATGATGCATATTTAATGAGCTCCATGTTCGGTGGGCCTGGATTTCATTGGAATCAGGCATTGCTGTGTCACTGAATTTCGGGGGTTTTGTCGAGGCAGGAAGAGCCCAAATTCCATTTCCTGAGTTGTTTTTGTGATTAGAAACTCCAGAAATGCACCAGAATTTGAAATATTATTTAGTGAAATATAATTACTGAGCTTGTTCAGGGAATGGATGGAGTTTTTTCCCATCAGGATGCTGATTCTGTGACTCTGTTTGCATCTAAAACAGAATTATTTAATACCACGTCATGAATGAAACATCTGTATTTGAAGACCAGAATTTGCTAAACTGACACAGCTTTGATGTTTTGGTCAGAGGGATGTGCTCCCTTCCCACAGAAGGTTTTTTTCACATTTATGAAGTTTTCTGTGGCCAAAGATTTGGGAACAGACCCTCAAAGCTCCTTCACTTTATCTGCAACACAGCAGAACTTTCTCCCTTTGGAAAGTGAAAATCCCCTGGATTTAAGTGAAATAGTTTTGGAAATAAATTAAATTATCCCAGAATCACAGGCAGGGACCTTAAAGGTCATCCCAGATTTGGAGGTGATGGATCCTACAAAATCTGAGGATCACAAACCCAGATTGCCACATTCCTCAGCACAGAAAATAAAAATACAGGTGGATAATTTAGGGATAGATGAAACAAACTGACACAAACAAAGGAAAAAACTCCACAGGGATAATTTCTGTTCCATACTTGCCAAATTTTCCACATCTGGGACATCTCAAGGAGCTGCTGCATTTATTTGCAAAATCTCACAGCAGCAAAACACCTGCACTGGAAGGTGCTTTGGAATGTATTCCCAGGTTTTGGTCTTAAAAATGGGAAAAAAAGCTTGATAAAAATAACAACTTCTGATAAAATAACCTCAGATTCTTTTCCCTGACAAGCTCAATCCTAACCCAGGGCTGGGAAAGAGCTGGAGCTCCTGCCCAACTTAGCAGGAGTGTTTTGGGACAGGGTGCTCTGTCATTGACACGAGCTCATGAATATTTAACACCCACTTGAAACATTCCCTCCCCGCCAGACAGAGCCCATGATTTATAAATAGGAAAAATGCTGCAAAACACCTGAGAAGGGAGCAAGAGGGAAAAGCAGGTTGGTTTTAAAGGAAGCATTTGGAACTGGGGGAAAGGGAGGGAGGGAGGAATTCCTGGGGTTAAAGGCACCAAAGATTTGATCACGTTTGGGGCTGGGTTTTTGCCTTTTTTTGGTTTTTTTTGCACAGATCCAGCAGCCACATCCCCAAAATCAGCATTTCCCTCGTGCAGCAGCAGCGTTTGGCTTTCCAGAAACGCTGCCAGTGCCCACGGGGGATTTGGGGGTGCCCCCAACCCCACCTTGGCAGGGCAGGCTCTGCTCTGCGATTCCTCCCTGGCGACGAGGAGGAGGAGGAGGATGGCGAGGAAGCATAACGTTATTTACAACGTTATTTATTTACAACGTTATTTATTTACAACGTTATTCACGGCCAAACCCGCTGCCAAGGCGAGCCCAGCGTCTCCTCTCCTGAAACCCCCACGGTTTTAACCCAACCCCTGCTGATTTTTTACTGCCATCAAGAAAAAAAAAAGGAAAAAAAAGGGAAAAAGGGGGGAAAAAGGGGGGAACAAAAAACCCAAGGGGACGAGTGAATTTATGTAACAAGCAGCTCCCGCATCCCTCGGGATGCTCCACCCGGGCAGCTCCAGCGGGAGCGCGGCCCTGCCCGCCGCGCTGCCCGCGGCTCCCCGGCACGTTTGGCCGCTCCCCGGCGGGGCTCCCGCGGCCGGAGGGGCAGCGGCCCCCCCGGAGCTACTCACGGCAGCTGCTTCAGCTGGAACAGATCCTCCTCCATGGCCGGGCGGCGGCTGCGCTCATCGCTCCCGCACGGCGGGCTCGCTGCGGCCGGGAGGCTGGACAGCTCCGCGGGCACCGCCGCGCCTGGGCTCGGCTTAGCGGGGCTCGGCCTGGCGCGGCTCGGCACGGCACGGCTCAGCCTGGCTCGGTTTGGCGCGGCTCAGCTCAGCTCGGCATGGTTGGGCTCGGTTCGGCACGGCTGGGCTCGGTTCGGTTCGCCCGCACCGGCCATGGCTGGGCCGGGCTTAGCTCAGCTCGGTGGGGTTTGGCGCGGCCGGGCTCGGCTCAGCACAGCTCGGCTCGGCTCAGCACAGCTCGGCTCGGCTCAGCACGGCCTGGCTGAGCTCGGTTTGGCCGAGCGGGGCTCAGCGGGGCCCGGCTCAGCCGCCGTTCCCCCATTGCCCCCAGCGGGGCCCGATGGCTCCGCCGGGCGGACCCCGGGGCTCACACCCCGCGGGAGCGGCGATCCCCGGGCTGCACAACCTTTCCGGCCGGGTTTGCCCTCACTCTCCCGGGCACAGCACGGCGGGGCCGCCCCGCTGAGCTCCGGGCCGCGCCTCCGGGACACCCCGGGCTCGGGCAGCGCGGGGACGCGGCCCGTCACACCGGCAGCGGGCTGTGACCCGCGGGGCGGCCCCCCCGGGCGCTGTCACACCGGGATCGGGCCCGT